CTCCCCCCACAGCTGTATGGGGGCTCTGGGGCACATTTCCTTAGCATAGCAGCAGCCTCACAGCCACAGCGACGGGCTGAGCTCCTCGGGCTCCTCTCTGCACCTCGTTAGGAAAATGAGCCCTGCTGCACCCTCCCACCCTCTGAGAAGCACCCAGATGAGCCAAAGCGACCCTCTGGGATCAGCAAAGAACCCAGTGCTGGGCTGAAATACAGCTCAGAGCACTCACCGAGGATGCTCTGTCCCCACACAGCATTTTGGGGACTGATGGATGAGCAGCTGCATCTGGCACAGCCCCTCAGAGAGGTGCCAGGTCATCTGAAGCGAGAGAAGAGGTGACCTCTGCGCCTGGCTGCTCATGGAGCAGGAGGGGCAGCCCCATGGCTGCTGGCAGGGCCACCCCAGCCTGATGGTCCAGCTGCCCTTGGCCAGCCCCGCAGCACAGAGCATCCCTTGGCAGCGCTGCACGCAGAGCCCACCCCCAGCACCAACAGCAGGGGTATTTTTAGCCTGGAAAAGTGCCACAAAATCATAGAGCAACATTTGCTGGAGTCGGGACCAGTGTCTCCRTTCACCTTGCAAATCCTCTCTGGGTCACCCTGCCCTGCTTGGTGAGGCACCGGGTCCTGCTGGCGCTGCTGCCTGAGCACCGAGCCCCCCGTGGGTTTCCCAGTGCCACCTGTCCCCTCCTCCTGTCCCACGGTGCCACCTCCCTTTAGGAGCAGCTCCAAATCCCCCTGGACACCCATGACCTTCCCAGGCCACAGRAAGGGACATCCTGCCCGGTCCCTCTGGCAGCTACACCTGAACCCAGGGTCTGTTTGCCCTGCTAAGGCGTGGGGGGATGTTTGGGCTCCCTGCCCATGCTCTGGTACCAGCAGGGCCCCAGTCCCACGCCAAAACACCACCACAATTATTCATCCCGTAGCCTTTATTGCAATGAGATTATTTTTGCTCCTGCTGGGGAAGGAAAGCCTATTATACAGCTTCTCCAGGGAAAGACAGGGACCAGCACAGTGCTGCAAAAACAGAGGAATGTGACATTACATGACAACAGTGTCCAAAATGGGCTCACACTGCGAGGCCATGCAGACCCTCAGGCTGGCAGCAGAGCACAGCCACCCACAAGAATGTGTTTTCTCCAGCATTAATTTCATACCCCATTAAATGCCTAAAAATGTTTGCTTTGGGGGAATCTGCCTCCGTGTCCCCCCAGGGTGGAGGGGATGTCCTYTCCCTGAGAGCAGGTGCATGGGGTTTTCCCATTTGTTTTGTTTTCCTCAGGAACAGTGATGAGGCTGTGCCTGTTCCCCCTCACTTTCACTGGTCAGAGGATTAGGAACAGGAGGGGAGAGCTGACAAAGCCCTAAACTGAAGGCACAGAGAACTGGAATCTTTCACAAGGAGTGCTTTGCTCCCCAGGGCTCATTAAGCATTTAAGCAGTTGGTCCAGAGAAGAAGTGCACGGCAGCACTCACATGCTGGCTGGTGGCACAGCCCTGAGCACGCAGCAGCTCTATTTCACACCTTGGTTTCTGCAAAAGAAAATCCCAGTCCTGGGACAAAAGAGACAGGAGGATGTGCAGAGCTGGCTGGGCCGGCTGGGAGTCTTGGGAGAGGGGAAGGAAGTCAGGAGAGAATCAGGAGGCAGGATGGAGGTGTCTGTGATGTGGTGCTTCCTAATTACAAGCAGCACAGTCTCCCAGAGCATCAGACTGGGTGCCTGATGAATTGCAGAGTTGTTATCCTGTCCTGGCCCACGTGCCAGCCCATCACTGGGTCTGGAGGTGAAAGATGCAGAGGAAAAAATGCCCCCAAACAGGAGCTGCCTCTAAGCTGCTGCCAAGCCCTCCCGTAACAACTCACCCTCAAGCCTGTGCAGCAGAGCTGAATCAATCTGCTCAAAACCCACCACAAACTGTGCCCACCTGAAGCTTCTGTCCCTCCTGGTTGTCCTGGCTCCAGGGCAAAGGCAAATCTCTGTGCTCATCCAAAGGAGAGACCAAGGCTGAATGGGAAGCAGCACCAAGACTCTCTGCTTGTTACATGAGGAGCAAAGTGTGCTCCTTTGCCTGCTGTCCTTCCTCTCCCTCACCCCTCAATATAAACAGCAAAAGCTGGTCTTTATCCTGAAATTGAGCTTAAGCACCTCAACCTTTTCTCTGAAACAAAGCCCAAACCTGTTTCCAAGGGGTTGAATCACTCACCCCTCCTTGGAATTGTGTTGTCTGCAAATGCACTTGAGGGTTTAATTTACCCAGCAGGTTTAATTACATAAATGTGGCAAAGTGGGGCTGAGCAGCAGAGAGGGCTCAGGATCCAGGCTGTGTGGACTGGCATAGCCCTTCTCCAGGCTCTGGAGCCAGGCAGAGTTGAGGCAGGTAAGTGCCTGGCCTCAAAGAAACAGTTTGATGTGAACTCAGAGAGGGTGGAGGGAAAGGAAAAAGAGCTATCCCACTTTTCTCCCCATCTGAGCAAACCCAGCCTCTGCTGCCTGCATGTCTGCCATTAGCAGAGCCTGGCACTGTGACAGGGACAGCTTTGGGGCAGGGACACGGGGATGGCCCTGGGGACTGCACCAGGCTGCAGCCACTGCCCACACCATGGGTCAGGYCTGGTCCTCGCCCCCTGCCCCCGCTGGTCCTGCTGCTCCGGGGAGCACAGCCCTAGGGCAGCCTGGTGGTGGATGCCTGTCTCCAGTGCTGACAGCTGCCTGCTGGCTRGGATCCTTGCTGTTTACAGAAAAACCACCCCACGCTCTGATTTGAGGGATAGGGGGGAAAAATCTATTCTTGTCCCTCCCAAAAATGCCGTGGTCGGGATGAGGAGCAGTGCCTGGCATCCCCGGGGCACCGCCGGGCTCTGCTTGTGCAGCTCCTGCTCCATCCCCCGGCCCACCAGCAACAAACCAGCGCTGCCTTCGCCCTCCTGGTGGGATGCTCGCTGCCTTCGTTTTCTCAGAGCTTATTTTCAGCGCTGCTTCCTTCCCCGCAGTGCTGGCTGCCTGCAGAGCTGCCAGGCGGGCAGGAGGGCTGTGGCTGCAGCATCCCCCACAGTGCTGCCCATCAGGGAGCCACGCTGGCTCCCCCGGCCTCTCCAAGAGCCTCGTTAGCCCGGTCCCAGCGCCCTGCTGGCCACAGCGTGTGCAGTCACGGCTTGTAGCTGGTCATCCTGAGAGCCCACGCTCATGGCCACCTGACACACCGGCTCCACGGCCGCTCTGACCATCCTCAGGCCCCTCAGCTGATGCGGGGAYACCACGCCAGTGCCTCAGTTTCCCCAGAGAGCAGAGAGAGGACACGGTGGCTCCCCTCCTGCCGGCGGTGTCAGGTCCACTTAGCTCGGACGGTCTCTGGCAGAGGAGCTGTCACAGTGCGCGTTTGCTCCGCTCCCTGGGGCTCCAGATTGTGCCTTGCGCCTCCCAGCACCGTGGCCCCGTAAACATTAATGGCAACGGTAATCAGAGGAGACTTCTCGCAGCTCCTGGTGCTGGGAGAGACGAGGAGTGGGGATGAGGACTCCTGCACGCTGCCTCGAGCTAAGGGCCCGCTGGCCACAGCCTCCAGCCCCCTCTGCCCTGCGCTGGCCCAGGCACCCCGGGCTTGGCTCCGCACAGCCGGACCTCTCCCACAGCCCCTTCGTGCACCAAACCCATTGGGGAGCTCTCARAGCCCTGGGCAGCCCTCGCTCGYCGTGGGGAGAGCAGGCAYRGGGGGACCAYGCTCTCCTCCTCCGCTGAGATCCTCCTCTGTGGATCCCTGCAGCAATGGCTTTGTACAGCAGCTCCCAGCCATTACCAGGCTGCAATTAATATAAATAAACGAGATGAGCCAGCCACAGCAGAGCGAACAGAAACCTGACTGACATATCTGCCAGGAATCATTTATTCTGCACTTTTATCTTTTTTAATACAATTTACTTCCTTGCAAATTAATCACAGATTGCCTCGGACCAGAGGCGACTCCGCGGCTGGGCCGGGTGGCCCCAGGGGACAGGGCAAAGGCAGCCGAGCAGCCCGAGTCCCAGCCCTGCCCGTGGTTATCAAGCAGCTCCCTTCCCTCTGCCTTGGTTTCCCTCTCCCTGGCAGCCGCTGCAGCTCCCGCATCACGCAGACTTTGCTGTCCATCTTGCTTTCGTTCTCCAAGGAGCYCACCTGTCCCTGCCCAGAACAGTCTTGTCCATCGGCTGAGCCTCTGGGAAAGGCAAGGGCAGAGGGGCTGAGCCCCCCGGGTATGTGTCCCAGCCTGCATCGGGCCGGCCCCGAGCTGCGGCCCCATGGCCAGGCAGAAGGGTTTAGGAGCCGGCTTTCCCCAGCCGCTCTCCCCGATCCGACGGGCAGTTCCTCTGGAACATCCCTCAGCCCCCGCACATGCCTCAGCCCCAGCACATCCTTCAGCTCCTGCACGTCCCTCGATCCCCGCACAGCCCTCGGCCCAGCACATCCCTCAATCCCCGCACAGCCCTCGTTCCCCGCACATCCCTCAGCCCCGCACGTTCTCTGATCCCAGCACGCTTCTCGCCCTCGGAGCATCCSTTGCACAGCCATCAGCGCTGCCACATTTCCAAACCCCGGCGCATCCCTCGACCCCGCCAGCCCCGACCCCGATGTGCCCCGGGACCCTCCCAAAGCCCGCAGGGTCCCTCCTTCCCCTCGCCGAGGAGCCCCCACGGGGGACGCGGGGTCCGGGACAGCCCGGGCTGGGCGGCAGAGGGCCCCGAGGGGACGGGGAGGAGGCGGGCACGGGGACGGGAGCCCCCCACGGCCGTGCCCGCCTCCTCCCCGCCGCGGCGGGCGAAGCTCCGCCCGGCTCCCGGGGCCCGCAGCCGGCCGGCGCCCACCCCGCGGCGGACGCCCGGACTATGAGGAGCGGGACCGGGCGGGGGGCGGCGGCAGCGGCGGCAGCGGCCCCGGTGCGGCGGGAGCGGGAGCGGGGACTCCGCCGCTGCCGGCCGGGTCATGCCCGTGCGCCCGGGGCGGCGGGGCTGCGGGCTGCGGCGGGATGGGCGCGCTCCGGGCCGGTGCCCTCGCCTTCCTCCTCCTCCTCCTCCTCGGCTGCCTCCTGCCCCGGCGCGGCCCGCTCAGGTGAGCGCACGGCGCGGGTGCTCGGTGCTGCGCGGGGCTGCGGGACCGCTGCTCTCCGAGCCGCTCCCCCGGCACACGGACCCCATCCCCCGGGAGCCGCGATTCCCCTCCGGCACGCGGGTATCCCCCTTCTCGGACACAGATCTCTCCTGCGGGACCTGGGCATCCCCTTTCAGACCCGGACGAGCCCCGGACTCTTACCCCAACCCCCGATCCGGACCTCTCTCAGGGGCCTGATCCCCCCAGACAGAACGCTCCCAGCTCCTACCCGGACCTCCCACCAAATCTGGCCTCGCTCGCCATTCCCCAGGACCCTGACCCAGCACCCCGGGGAACCCACCAGACCTTCCCCGTCCAGTCCCCCCCTGCACACAGCCCGACCCTGCCTGTCCCCAGCAGTCCCTGAGGGATGCCCTGGCCCCGGGCCAGCCGGAGAATCTCGCCACCATGGGAGAAAGGGCAAGCTGAGCCAGGTGAGAGCCCGGACAGCTCCTTCTCCGGGGCTGCAAAGCCCCTGAGGTGTGCAGATCCTCTCCTGGCTCATGGTGTTCGGGGGGAGGAGAGCTCAGGACAGTTCCTGACCCAGCCCTTGGGTCACTCGAAACRGTGTGTGGGTGCCCCAGATCCCATGGGTGCAGGAACAACTCTTGGGCCACCTGGGTAGAAAATCTAAAGCCCGCAGGTCGCTTCTTCTATCTCTGTCCACCTCGGGTGCTATCTGGGACAAGGTGGGATGCAGGGCAGAGCTGCCCAGGCAGGGAGGGGTTGGGGGCTGCAAGGCTCCTGGACTGAGCCTGCTCCCTGCCCCCAGTCCCCCTCCCACCACTCGGCCGGCATGGCTGGAGCAGCATGGGGGGGTTTGCAACATTTACGGCAGGGAGGAGTGGAATTGTCTTGTTTCACGTGCAGTAGCTGTTTGTCTCAGGGCAGCGTTTTCAGGCAGACATCAGCATTTTCCAGCCCGACCGTCCACTCGCTGCACAGAGGAGCTGAGCTCCGGGGCCCTGCAGTGCCCAGCCCAGGGCCGGGGCCGAGGCCCCAGGGCAGGCAGTGTCCTGCAGGCAGGGGCTGTGCCCAAGAGCTGCATTCCAGCCCGGCCCTGCCAGGGATGCCGTGGGAAGTGGCTGCACTCTGGGCATTTTGGCATCCCCTACGCAGGTCTGAGCAGCACAGGGGCTGCAGATCCGCTGTGGCTCAGCCGGCTATCAGAGCCTCTTCAAGGAGATACCTGTCAAGGGAGCCCAGGAGCCTCCCTCCCACGTGCTCCAGGGGAGAACCCTCCTTGTCCTCTCCAGCTGAGGAGGACATGGTTCACAGCTACAGAAGCCTCACKTAACCCCTTGTCAGCCTGGCCTCTTGCAGCCCTTCTCCCAAAGGCACCACACCTTGCTCCTGCAGCTGCTGGCTCAGGGAATTTCTCCCAGCCTTTTGCTCTTGGTCAGGACGAGTCTCAGGTACTCTCTGCTGTCCTTCCCCAATTAAAGGAAAACCTGCCCCACTGGAACATTTTGGGATGGCTATTGTGGCCACTTCTAGCTGGCAAGGATGCACACAAGCCCGTCTAGGATGRATTTTACTCCCTTGGAAAGAGATAGGTGTATTGGTAGGAACAAGAAGACAGGAAGGACCAAAGGGTTCCCAGCATCATTCTCTTCTTGTAGCGATGGGCTTGTAGCTCCAAGCAGGAGTGAGATCCACCTAGGCATAGACCTGGTGGAGTTACAAGGCAGSACACAGCAGCTCCAGCAGCATGCTCAAAGCTCCTTTTGTGTCCAGAGATCTCTGGCTAATTCYTCTCCATCACAGCTACATGCCTGGCAATGTGGTGAGTGAACATCTCTCACATTGTTCCTTGAAATTATCATTATAGACTGGCAGGARGAGAGAAACTGGCAGGCTAAGATGCATTCACAAAAATATCCCCTCCAGAGTCAGTTTAAATAAATCTCCATCATCATTCAGAGCACTGTGTGGGAGAGCTCATCTCCACGGCTGGTGTGGAGGTGGGCTTTGCTGCTCCTCTCCTGCCACGTCTCCTTGGTCCTGGCAAAGTGTCAGAGCCCAGCTCTGGACACCTCCTCGCTCAGGCAGGGCTGTTGTGCCCCCATGTCCATGACAGGCAGTGTRTGATTGTTTGCTCAGCAGCTCAAGCTGGAGCTGTAGACAGAACCTGAGAGGGAACCTCCCAGCTTTCCCCCTCCAGCGCTGGCACAGAGCCTGGCACAGAGCACAAGGCACGGCCGCCTGTGCCCTGTCCCCACCACAGCCTCCAGGGCTGGCAGGCACTGGTCCCCAACCCCATGCCAAGGATGTGGTGGGCAGGGGCTGTGCTGGAGCAGGGGCAGGCAAAACAGTCCTATCCAAAACTGTGGGCAAGTGACACTCAGTCTGCGGCAGGTGAGGGGGAAAGCCACCGGGATCCCAGCAGAAGGAAGGGATCCCAGGGCCAACATGCTGACCGGGCACTGCAGTGGGTGCAGCGCAGGCACAGCCGCCTGCCATGGGAGCTGGCTGTCCCCAAAATGTGCCTGAGATCCCTGGTGCCAGCAGGCAGCAGCTAACCTGCCTCCTCTGCCCCGCAGGCTGGTCTCAGGGCGGGAGGAGATTAAAGCTGCTTCCCGAAGCTCACCCCAGCCCATGTCACCTTCTGATTTCCTGGACAAGCTCATGGGACGAACCTCGGGCTATGATGCCCGAATTCGACCCAACTTCAAAGGTAAGAGGAGGATGTGAGGGTCCCAAACCTGGCAGCAATCCATGGCCAAACCCAGGGGCTTTGGGGCAGGACCCTGAGCCACATTCCTCTGTCCCAACACCCTCCCCAGAGTCCCGGCTGCTCCTGCCAGCACAGCCGGAGTGTGGGTGTGCCCGCTTTGCCTGAGCTCGGGCGGCTGCGGTGCCTGCAGGGTGTGCTAAAATTTACCCCGACACCYCGGGGGYGGCTGCRGTGCCTGCAGGGTGTGCTGRGRTTYACCCCGACACCTCGGGGGCGGCTGCRGTGCCTGYRGGRTGTSCTGRGGTTCACCCCRACACCYYGGGGGTGGCTGCAGTGCCTGCAGGGTGTSCTGGGGCTCACCCCAACACCTCGGGGGTGGCTGCAGTGCCTGYRGGGYGYSCTGGGGCTCACCTCTTCAGCCCGGGGGTGGTCCCACAGCAGACAGGGGCTGTCCRYGAGCTGTTCAGAGTGCCGGRGCCGCTGTCCCCRCGTGTCCCCGMGTCGCTCACATGTCTCAGCGGCCGCAGCAAGAGGAGGCTTCACGCTGTTCTCCAGGTCCACCCGTCAACGTGACCTGCAACATCTTCATCAACAGCTTCGGCTCCGTCACCGAGACCACCATGGTGAGGGTTTTGCCGGCGCGACGGGCTCTGCTCTCCGGGTGCCTCGGGGCTGGCAGGGGCTGTGCTGGGAGCTTGCGGGTCCAGTGCCCGTGGCTGTGCTTACAGGGGGTCCTGTGACCCCTTCTCTGGAGYCAGCCCTGCCACTGCGGCGGGGACATGCAAAGCCATAGCACGTGGCTGTGGTTTTTCTGGGGTCAGCTAACACAAGSTCGGCTGTGTCGGTCACATTGCCTGTGCCTGAGCTGGAAGAAAGATCTCCAAAGGGTCACAGCAGACAGCTGGAGGTAGCCCCCTGCCATCCCAAACCTCCTTGGGTGCATGAGGAACTCCTGTGAGGAAACCCCAGGGCTAGAATTTACTTATTTTCACATCTGCAAAGCCTTAATACCATCAACCATCATCTGAACAGACCCACAAACGTGTGTGCAGAACACTGCAGGCAGCAGTTGCTGGTCTTTCTCCTCCTCCTCTCAGCTGCTGTGGCCTTGGCTTTTTAATTTCCCCTGGCTGCCAACAGAAGGCAAGAGGAAAACCTTGAGTGCCCCTGCCCCATGAGTGATTAGTGACAGGCACACAGCAACTGCAGGGCTCAGCCTCAAAGGAGGCAGCTCCTTCCTCCTCCTCCTCCTCCTCCTTGCCGGGCTCCACGGGGTGCTGACGCGGTGCCCCTGTCCCAGGACTACCGTGTGAACGTGTTCCTGCGGCAGCAGTGGAACGACCCCCGCCTGGCGTACCGGGAGTACCCCGACGACTCCCTCGACCTCGACCCCTCCATGCTCGACTCCATCTGGAAGCCAGACTTGTTCTTTGCCAACGAGAAAGGGGCCAATTTCCACGAGGTCACCACTGACAACAAGCTCCTGCGCATCTTCAAGAATGGCAACGTGCTCTACAGCATTAGGTAGAACCTTCCCCTCTGGTGCAGCACCTGAATGGGGAGGCAGAGTTCYCCTCTTGCCTTCTGTGGGGCAGCTTTTCACTGCTGACTGCTCCAGCCCCAACAACCCCCTCCTTTCCTGTGCCTCCTCCAGGCTGACACTGATCCTGTCCTGCCCCATGGACCTCAAGAACTTCCCCATGGACATCCAGACATGCACCATGCAGCTGGAGAGTTGTGAGTACCTAGGGGGGTTCAAGCTGTGCTTCATTCCCCTCTACCCATCCCATCCCCTCCCATTCCATGCCATCCCAAAAGCTGGCAGCTCACTTTTTCTGAGGCACGTAAGCAGGAAAAAGTTGTTCAGGGTGSGGTTGAATAGGATACATGTCCCCATCCCATGGCTTCCTACATCCTCTCCAGTTGGCTACACTATGAACGACCTCATCTTCGAGTGGCTGGAGGAGCAGGAGGCCGTGCAGGTGGCCGAGGGCTTGACACTCCCACAGTTCATCCTCAGGGATGAGAAGGACCTGGGCTATTGCACCAAGTACTACAACACAGGTGAGCACCCCAGGGACCTGCTGCCACCCCCTCACCGTGGCCCAGGGTCCCTCTCACCCATCGGGGCCGTCTTTCCCTACAGGCAAGTTCACCTGCATCGAGGTGAAGTTCCACCTGGAGAGGCAGATGGGTTACTACCTGATCCAGATGTACATCCCCAGCCTCCTCATCGTCATCCTCTCCTGGGTCTCCTTCTGGATCAACATGGATGCGGCACCCGCCCGGGTGGGCCTGGGCATCACCACGGTGCTCACCATGACCACGCAGAGCGCCGGCTCCCGCGCCTCCCTGCCCAAGGTCAGTGCTGGCTCCCTGCTGCAGCCRCCCCCAGGGGCAGRGGCAGGGGCAGGGGCAGCCTTTCCCTGGGAATGGCTTGGCTTGGGAGCCTTTTCAGCTGGGCCAGCACGTGCTGAGGGTAACACTGGCTGGGGGCAGGGGCAGGGGCAGCCTTTCCCTGGGAATGGCTTGGCTTGGGAGCCTTTTCAGCTGGGCCAGCACGTGCTGAGGGTAACACTGGCTGCTCCACGGGAGAGGGCTCCCGTGCATTGGGCAGCAGGATGAAGCTGGCAGCGGCGGGGATGAGCAAGTGGGGGGGCAGAGGGTCCCTGAGCCCCCTCTCCCCCGGGCAGGTGTCCTACGTGAAGGCCATTGACATCTGGATGGCCGTGTGCCTGCTCTTTGTCTTTGCTGCCCTGCTGGAGTACGCAGCCGTCAACTTYGTCTCCCGCCAGCACAAGGAGCTCATGCGCCTGCGCCGCCGCCAGCGACGGCAGAGGATGGTAAGTCCCCCCCTCTTGTGACATCTGCCCATCCTCAGCCCCTGAGGGGACACCCCAGGGCTGTAGGGACAGTTTCTCTGCAGCCCCCAGAGCAGGGCTGCGTTCCATCGCACCCCAGGGACCCACGGCACTGCAGCACAGTGCACGGCACCTAAGGGTGCTGCTGGCCCTGCTTAGGGTGCTGTCCTGCTCCTGCTGGGACAGCCTCAGGCTCTGCTTCCTCTAAAAATGCAGAAAAATAAACAGTGAGGATGGGGGAAAACCAGCCTTTCCCCTCACCTCAGCCCCAAACCCGGGCTCCTTGCTGTGCCATAGTGGTGACAGGGACTCACTGCTGAGTCAGAGATGTGGTGGCACCCAGGGACAGGTCTGGGCTGCAGATGGGAGCTCAGCAGGATCAGCAGAGGCAGGATCCCTCTCTCCTGGAAATGGGCCTCCCCTCTGCCAGCCCACCAACACACRCATCAGGCCTGCAAGAAGCTTGGGGTAGGCACAGAGCTGCCCCACTCTCATTCTTGCCATAAACACACCATGAGGCACCAGATCTCCACAGAAGGCACGAATACACACATACACACCACACAGTGTCCCCTGCAACCACACCCCTTTGGCACGTGCTGAGACAGATCCATCCCGGTGCCAGGGCACTGCCAGGGGGGCTTTTTCCCCCACACAGAGCCCCTGTCTCCCCATCCCCATCCTGGCACCCAGAGCCGCTGCCCCGGGGCCGGGGTAGAGCCCTCGGTCACCCGCTGTCCTGTTTCTGTTTGGTGCACACTGCTGGATGCCAAAAGGGCCTGAGCAGCGGCACGGCCAGCCTGGAGTCCCTGCGGCAGCTGAGCAGCCGGCACAGCAGCGAGCACACCTACGCGACGCTCTCGCAGCTCTCCAGCTCCCGGGTAAAGCACGACCCTGCGGCAGCCCCCCCGTGCTTCCCCAGCCAGCCTCACCCTCCCCTCCCCAAAATGAGCCCCCAGGAGCCGGCCCTCCTGCAGAAGAAGCAGGCCAGTAATTGGCACGGAGTTGGTGRCCATAGGATGGAGCCGCCAATTCCTGGTGCAAAAGTTTTGAGAGAGGGATGGGAACGGAGCAGATTTCCCTGTAGGCACCCCCACTCCGTGCCTCGGGTTCCCGTTTTGTAAAGCAGGATCGGCACAGTCCCCTCCCTGAGGGTCAGTGATGCTGGGCTGACTGGTGGCTGCTCCTGGGCTGCTGCCCAGCTCCCCGGCTGTGCCCACACCTCTGACAGGGCTCTGCCTTYCTGCAGCTCCAGGCGTTCCCAGCTGCCTGCAGACACCCCAGCACGGGCAGCTGCTCGGGCCACACAGGCACTTTGCACCTTGGGGCACAGAAAAATGTGTGGGACAGGCTCACAGGATATTGGGGAGATGCAGGGCATTGACCACAGCTCCAGGGAGGAGACCAGACCTCGTCTCCTCTACACCATCATCAGCCCTTGGATGCCAGCAGAGGATTCCTGGCTTCCCAGAACGCTCCTTTGCTCCCTGCCTTTCACAGGTGACTCCGGAGATCAACACCTACCCAGGCAGGGCAGGGAGGGAGGGAAGGCTCTGTCGAACCAAGGGACCATCTGCTGGCTTAGAACAGACCAAGGTGCAGCTGCCCTGAGGTGGAGGCTGCAGAGGCACCCGGGGGTGCTGCTGGCACGGYGCTGGATGCAGCCAGGAGCACCCCKGGSTGCAGCTCAGTCAGAGAAYGGAGCAGAGCCCCAATACACACAGCTCCTGTGCCTGACAAAGCAAAGCCTGGATTTCACAGCCTGAGGGCAAATCTGTCCCATAGAGCCCCCAAATCCAGGCTCAGGAATAGGCTGGGTCTGCTGGCTCCCTGGGCTGGTCCCCAGGGCACACAGAGAAACCCAATTCCCACACCCAGGGTGCTGCAAGCACTCAGCCTGAGGCAGGGAAATAAAACTGTACTGCAAATGAGMGCTAACCTCAGCAATCTGAGCCACTGCTGCTCTTCCCACTGGAAAATCTTGCCTGTGGATTGCTGAGTTAAATAAAGAYGCCAGGGTAACAAACTCTCTGCATGAGAGCCCCCGTGCCAGCCGAGCGCCCGCACGGGCTGACGCAGCGAGCAGTCTCYGTGTCCTGGAGGGCAGCGCTGCTCAGAGATGGTGTTTGGGATCCCAAACTGCACCCAGGCACAGAGAGAGGCACTGGTCTGCAGCAGGCCCTGGGAGAAGGCACCCACCACAGCCAGATACAGCACCAGCAAAGGCAGAGGGGAGATGCGCCACAGACACCAAATGAGTGGAGCAAAAAGCCAGATGTGCACAGCCTGCCCCTGGTCAAATCTTATACACAACCCTCTGCAAGGATAAAAGAACAGGACAAGGCGAGTGGCTAACAGTSCACAGCTGTTGGCAGGGAGGAGGGCTGGCCAGCCCCCGAGGGACCCAGTCAGTCCCTGAACAACGGCAGTGGGCTGAAAACAGACTCAAGGCAGGTTYGCAGCTTTGATCGTGAACGTGCAACTCCATGGGCACGCTGCCCTCTCTGCAGCCTTCTGCCAGCATGGGGAGAGAGAGGGGGAGTGAGGGCAGAGAGACCAGCAAGGAGTCCAGCTCTCTCAGCCTCCCTCCTCTGCTGYACCACGTATCCTCTGCCAAGCAGATATGGAGAGAAATGAAGGTCTGGATCCTTGGAAGGACTGGGGTGTCCTGCAAGCCCTGGTGGTAGCCAGGTTCCTGCAGCCCTGCCCAGCTCTGCCCCAGCTAGCTGTCTGTGCTCCCCTGTTCACCATGGCAGTCACACTTGCACCCCGCAGCAAACACAGCTGTCACAGCGGTGCCTGCACAGCTCAGCACCCTGCACCCAGGGCACCCCGCACCCAGGGCACCCCGCACCCAGGGCACCCGCACCCAGCGCACCCTGGACCCCTACGTGCCCCCTTCCACCAGTGCACCTCCCATCCCTGTGGCTGCCAGAGCCATGCTGCCCCAGCCCCGAGCTGGAGCTGGAGGAGACTGGGGGATGTGTCGGGCTGCCGGGGTTGGGTTGCCTTTACCCCTAGAACACACGCAGGCTGAAAAGGCAGGGGCTCAGTGCTCACCGCGTCCCCTGGCACAGCACTGCCAGCCCCGCGCTCCTGCCTGCATTCTGAGGGCTCTCTGAAGAGCACCCAGCCCCGCAGCAGGCGCTCAGCAGCAGCCGCAGGGTGTGCAGGAYGCGCAGCTCAGCCCTGCAGCGCCAGCACCCGCGGGCGCTCCCTGACCGCCCTTCCCTTGGCCAGGAGGAAGAGCTCAGCCGCGACAGCCGCTTCTACCTGCGAGGCTACGGGCTGGGCCAGTGCCTGCAGCCCAAGGACGGGGCTGGCGAGGGTCCCGGCGTGTACAGCCCCCCGGCMGCCAGCGCGGTGCTGCGGGAAGGGGAGAGCCTCCGCCGGCGCTACCTCGACCGCGCCAAGCGCATCGACACCATCTCCAGAGCCGTCTTCCCCTTCACCTTCCTGGTCTTCAACGTCTTCTACTGGGTYGTTTACAAAGTGCTGCGCTCAGAGGACATCCACTTGGTGCCCTAGGCTGGAAAAGGACAGCTGCCGCTCGGTGTGACCCTCCCAGTGTGCCCGGGTGCCACAAGCTCAGCCAGAACTGCATTTCCCTCTGTCCCGGAGCGCTGGCACAGCTGGGATGGGGCTCAGAGCCCGGACATGTGGCAGCCGCCGTGCCCCACTGGATCTCAGGGCACAGAGTGGGGGGATCAACAACCACGGGTCCCCATGGTCAGCTGGAGAGAGGGACCCCTCCTGCCTCCTGCATGGYGTCACCCCCAGGTACCCCGGGATGCTGCGCTGGTGGGGCACAGGGAAACAAACAACTGCTGCCCAGGAATGCTGTGCTGCTGGGGGAAGTCTCGGGTATCCAGGGGCACAGGACAGCTCCAGGGACTTTGGCACAGCCGGTGGCCAGAGAACATCACCTGCCAGAAAAATATCCTCCACCTCTCCACACCTGCCATGTGAGGCTGCTGCTTCTCCAGCAGCACTGAGCTGTGGGCCCCGAGCAGCCGGGGCAGAGGCTGCAGCCCTCTCTCCTCTGGCCCGGAGCCTGGCTGCAGGAAAGAGCAGGCAGCAGCCCTGCCGGCAGCTGGGCTGTACGGGGTGCTGCCTATGGCCCCATAGCCCCCTGCCCAGCCCTGGACAGGGCCCCTCCAGCCTCCAGCCAGCTCCCAGGCACAGCAGAGCAGCAGGGYGGGGAGGCTTCCCTCCCTGCCGAGCTCGGAACTGCCCGTGGTGCCCACAGCTGCGGGCAGAACTGGGGCAGGGACACTGGGCAGGAGGCTCTGTTTGCTCCAAGGAAACGCCAGCCCCCAGGCAGGCAGCAGGCAAGCTCAGGCCCACTGGAGGGGCACAGATGGCCACTGCARTTGCAGATGGGAGTCACTTGGCACTGGGGAGATGGCACCGCATTGTCCGCAGGGCAGGGCCCGCAGCCCATCGTCCAAGGGAGATGTTTCAGGATGAAAGCAGCGGGGAAAGCTTGGCCAATCCTTTTGGAGGAGCAGAGTGAGTGGTGGCATCCCCATTCTGCTGCATTCCTGCAGCACCACGGTGCCAGGAGAGAGATGGAGGTGGAAACTGCCCCATTCCCCAGCCCAGCACCCGGGTGCAGCATCCCTGGGCAGGTTCATCCCTAATACTCCTCCACTGGAGAGGAGAGCAGCTGGAACCTCACCAGTGCAAGCTCAGCAAGGCTCCCTGCCCTCCAGACCTGGATACCCTCCATGCTTTGCGGGAAATAAAAGCAGCAGGTGATGTTTGAGTCCTACAGAGAGGAGTGTGTTGATGCTCTCCTTTCCCTCATCCCACAGTCACCCTGGAGGAGGCTGCAGCAGGGTCCATCCCCCCATAGCTGTGGGGGCAGAGAGGGCCCAGAGTCCTCCGGGCAGGGCAAGATGGAAATAGGGTTCACTCCTTTCCTTGAAGGCTGTGGTGCCCCGATGGCACAGCCAGTGCTCCAGTGACCCACCTGCCACGGCAGAACGGACCCTGCCAGGCAGGGGGACATGGCCAGGGGCCAGCACTGCCTTCTGAAGGCAGACCCAGGCAGAAACCCCCACTGTGACCCCTGGCCTGGCTCCTCATCACCCTTTTCCTGGTAGAACTGACTGGCAGCATGGCCCAGCCCCTCTCAGCCCCCTGAGCCCCACAGGGCTCAGCCACATGCACCCATCTCACAGAGAGGGCAAGCAGAGAACTGGCCCCAGGCCACCCCACGAGGGGACTGAGGGACCCAYGAGGACAGGCTGAGCCAGCCCCATCCCACTGCCAGCCCTTTGCATGCCTCCCCTGCTGTGGGGCTCCCTGTGAGGCCCCATTGTGTGTCTAGGCCAGATTTGCTTTAGGGAGGCCCTGTTTGGGGCACCCTCGGCTCCCCAGCACCCCAGGCAGTGCCAAACAGGGAGGCCCCGGTGCCCCAGCAGCACCCACAGGCACTGGGTGGCCATGCCAGCCTCCGGCAGCCGTGGGTTTTTAAACAGCATCAATCTTCCTACGCAAATAAAGCTTTCTGGGATTTTCATCGGCGTGTGTGGGGATTTGTCTCTGCCAAGAACACTGCAGCCAGCTCCCACTCACAGTATGGGGAGGGACAAGGGCAAAACCTGTCCTGCTCTGTGGGGACAGGAGCCCTGACCCACCGTTATACCCAGATGTCATTACCTCTCCATGGGKGATTTTTCTGACATTGGTGACTGTCATGTTTATCTCCCACGTGGGAGATGCCAGGAGGGCCGGGCAGGAGCCCCCAACCCCAAACCCCACCCTTTCCCTCCCCACCCAGTTCTGTGGGGTGCTTTCCACCCAGCCAGGCTTGGCCAGGGTACAGGACCCGAGAGGAGGCGGAGGTGGGGCCGGGGGGTTCCAGCTCTGCAGTGGAGCTCCGACACCCGAGCAYTGCAGCACCCCGAGGGCAAACCTCCCTGCACGGCCCCTCGGCCCCGTCCCTCGGCTCGCTGGGCAGGCGCCAGCCTTACAGAGCTGCCAGCTGTCCTGGGGGGCTTACGCCAGCCCTGCAGTGCCACCCGGGGCCGGGGCTTTTGTCCCCAGCTGGTGCAGGGGCGGACAGAGCCCACAGCTGAGGGCTGAGCGCCCAAGCAAACATCAATCTCCCTCTGTGCTCCCGGCCAAGTTTCACAGAGCAGCTCTGTTGGTACCTCGCAGCCCCATCGCCCGGCCGGCCCCACCGAGGGGCAGCGAGGAGAGAAGGCGAGCTGCACCCACGCCTGTTCGGTGCTGGGCTTGTTCTTTGGRTGGCACAAACGAAGCTTCCCCGGGGTTTTGCTGCTGTCCCCACCCCAAACCGAGAGAGGAGGMAGCCAAGGGGAGAGCTGTGAGGTGTTTCACAGCAGTACGGTGTGCCTGCCTCCCTCACCCCCTGCTCTGGAGTCAGGACATCAGCTCTGGGCACCCAGGCAAACACTGCAGTCAGCCCTGAGCCGTTCAGCTCCGGGAGCCAGCGCGTCCCAGAAAGAAACTTAAAATGTGAAAACTGAACACATCTGTCCCCAGCCAAAGCCCGCAGGTCCCACAGCCCAGATCCTGCTCACAGCAAGTCAGGGAGCTCATTTCTGGCACTGCACCTGCAAAGGCACAAGGACAGCRCTGCCCCATGGCCCTGCAGGTCCCTGTGGTTCTGGTGACCCTGGGGGCAGCACTCAGTCCCTGTCCCTGGTCCTCCCTGCAGCCCACTTTGAACTGGGAGTCACTGGGACACCATCACAGTTGCAGGGCTGTCACTGCCCTCCAGGACAAAGCTCCAGTGGGTCCATCCTTGGGGTTGGGGTGCTGAGCCCCATGTCCTCACACAGCATGGCCAGAGAGCAGCCCAGGTGGCTCAGTCCCCCAGCAAAGCTCACAGCCTTTGCACAGGATCAGTTTTTCATTCCCTGTCCAAGGCTGAGCATTGGGAATACATCCCAGGCACCATAGAAAGCAGCTGTGGGCACAGGACCAGCAGCCATGGCCAAGTTAATTGGTGGTTTAAAAGAAAGTTAATGAACTTTACACCAGGTTAATGGGACTGGTGGGACTTGTCAATTTACAAGACAGTAAATTGAGCATCATCAGCACTGGCAGCTGCCCAGCTCCTGCCAGCAGCATGCCCAGGGCCAGGAGCACACACAGGTTGGGGGCAGCACGGCCCCTTGCCAGCCCCAAGGACTCCTTGGGGGGCCTCTGTAGGGCCAAGGAAATGTCACTGCAGTGACACACCAGCCAGGCCCCTGCCCCACCCCACAGAGGGCTTCATCCTGCTGGCACTGAGCTCTGTCCATGGACCATCAGAGGGCCAAACCTTCCCTTCTTCCCCTCACCAGGGCCTCTGCCTGGAGGGCACCACATCCACAGCCTGGAGCTCCTGTGGGGCAAATCCAACTGCCAGAGGTTCAGSAAAGCATCCTGTGTGGGCAAAGCAATGCCTGCAGGGCAGCCTGTCCCACACTGATCYGCACTCTGGGTTTGGAGCCAGGGCAGTGCAGTGCAGCACGAACAGGTGACAGCTCTGCTGSGGCTCTGAGCAACYTTTGCACATTGCCTGAGCACAGAAWTATTTTCAAGAAAATACCGAGTTTCAAAAGTGAGGCAGGCAGTCGTGAGCGGGCCAGGGCTGCCCCTTACAAGTGGGAAAAGGGACAGAAGAGGAAAGCACCGGGAGCTGGACTACTGGGATCAGCCATGCCATGGCACAGGGCTCTCCCAGGACCGCAGCCCCATGGGGACAGGAGCCTTCTGGCACAGGGAAGGTGCAGGGTGCTCTGGCAGCGTGGCTGTGCCACCCCTCAGCCCAGCCCTGCCAACGCTGTCCCCCCATAGAGGAGTCTCAGTGCACCCCCTGCCACCTAAGCTGKGGCATCACACCCCAGCCTGTCACCTCCAGCTGCTCAGAGAGGCTGCACYACCCTGCCAAACCCCATGGCCATACCCACCCCATCCCAGCATGGCTTTAGGACCAGCCTGCACCACTCTGGGGACACCAGCCAGCACATGCAGCCCGCAGGGCACCCACAGCTCCCATGCCAGGGGGTGTGGGTGTGCCAGGTCCTCCTGGGGGCAGGGAGGACACCTGGGAACAGGGAGGGAGTGCTGGAACACAGAGACAAGCAGGGATCAGCCCTGCAGCACTCCCAGACCCTGGGAACAGGGGATAACTGCCCAGCTCTGGACTGCCGTTTTGCAGAAGAGAAAACAAAGCCATGAGGTTTTCCAGCCCTCAGAGCATCTTGTTTTGTCCGACTTTGAGAAATCTCTGCGCTTCAGCTCCCCAAGGGACAGGGGGAGGACCCCGGCACTGAAACAARGAGTGATTATCAGCCCCCGGGCTCTGAGGAGCTTTTGTTCGCTGGATGTGCCAGAGCAGGGATGGGAGGACACCTAGCGAGATGCCTCGCTGGCACCAGAGAGAGCCCTGTGCTTGATGGCCCAGGGCAGCCATGGCTCCATCCTGCCCCTCTCCTCCTGTGCTTGATGGCCACGGCCCTGCCATGGCTCCATCCTGCCCCTCTCCTCCTGCAGTGGGGCCATGGCAAGAGTTCCAGCGGGGCTGCAGGGCTGGTGCAGCTCTGGGGGAAAGCACAGGGGAGATCAGCTCCTCTCTCCCCATTTCCCACTGCTGCCTTGGCAGCGGGAGCCTCTCCCTGCCATGGCACCACATGTACCAGCACTGGCATCCCCAGCAGTGCTCATGGCTGTGTGGTTCCTGCAAACAGGAGTGAAATCCACCTCACAGATTGCTGACTGGCACACAGGTGTCTTTCACAGCTCTCCAGGTCCTGCTGGCACCAGCACTGCCCACTCCCACAGGTTCTCACTGAACTGCCAGTCAGATGTAACTGGTGTAAACGCCCAGTAACTATGACCTAGTCTTGTGGMTGAACTTGTTGAAGAGAGACCAAAACCTTTGAGTGCAAAGATCTGGATTGTCGCTGCTGGCCAAACAGCRACAGAAAAGAATAGATACAAAACACACAAAAGTGGGTGAAAAAACAGAAAGAAAGAAGGACTTTATTGTGGGACAAGCCTCTTTTATCCACTTTAGCAATCAGAGTACACATTTGTATCAAACATACATTGGTCAAGAGACAGCTGTTTAATTAGTAATCAGAACATAATTGGTGAGTTTGCAAAAGCTACAGTATTAGTAATGCTTATAATTTCCAGCCACCTGCGTTATCAATTCTACATTCCAATCTGCTTTTCTCAAGGATGYGGCATTCCTCCTCCATGTAGGCTGTCAACACTCCTTTTCTTTTCCCAGGCCTCAGTCATACACAATAATTGGATGAGTTTTAGAATCAAGGCTTGTGGGGCCCCTTTCCCCCACACTGGATGGGCCTGAGAACCCCAGACAGAGACAGGCTGGATCCACAGGCACACACACAGGCAGAGAGGCAGCAAACAGCCTGGCCATACTCCACACTCTGGATCAGCTTCGTGGCAGTGCTGGATCAGGCTGGATATGACAGAGGAGCAGAGGGGAGAAGTGCTCAGGAGGAAGGCTCAATCGAGAGCTTCTTACAGAGTTTTTGAGGCAGCGCTGAAAGCCCAGAGTCAAAACTAAGTCCTGAACSCATGGGGTACAATCCTCCCTTTGCCAGGACCCTGTACTGATGCATGGAGCACACACAGACCCACACCTTGCACTCACAGCAGCCCCCGGCCCCTCGGGCAGCTCCGGCTCTGCTGAGCACACAGAATCAGTAWGGCTGGAAAAGAGCTCTGAAATTGAGTCCAACTATGGCCAATCACCACTCACCAMCCAGACCATGGCACTGATTCCAGTCTTTGCTTGAGCACCTCCAGGGACAGTGACTCCACTTCGCTGGGCAGCCCATTCCAATGTTTAATCACCCTTTCTGTGGAGAAATTACTCCTGACATACAACCTAAACCTCCCCCGGTGCTGCCTGAGATCCCATCCTCTGATGGTGTCACCGGTTCCCTGGAGCAGAGCCCGACCCGCACCCGCTGCACCCTCCTGCCAGGGAGCTGCCGACAGTGACACGGACACCCYGAGCCTCCTTCTCTCCAGGMTGAGCCTCCACACYTCCCGCAGTCTCTCTGTGCTCCAGACCCTTCCCCAGCTTTAYTGCTTCAGCAGCTCAATGTCCTTCCTGAACGGAGGGGCCCAGAACTGAACACAGTGCTCAAGGTATGGCCTCAGCAGTGCCGATAACAGGGGAATAATCACGGTCCTGTTCGTGCTGGCCACACTACTGCTGTACTGGCCAGGTGCCACTGGCCTCTCGGCCAGCCGGGCACGCTGCCGACGGGCACACGGACGGTGCCAGCCTGGGCACTGCTGGCACGGCTCCCCCGGCACCGCCCGGCAGCACCCACAGCACCCGATCCCGCCGCCATGGCTAGTCCCCCTCAGTCACGTGCACCGCCCCACGTGATCCCCGGGGGGCGGGCCGATGCGCACCTCCCTGCACAGGATTGGCGGCAGCGCCCTGGGTACCGCGCAGCGATTGGCTGCACGGCCAACCCCGCCCAGCGGCCCCCGAGGATTGGCCGTCCGCACTGTCAATCACGCGGCAGGTGCGCGGCGCGGCGGGACGATGGCGGCGGCGCGGCAGGTGCTGCGCTGGGTTGTGGCGGCCGTGGCCGCGGTGGCGGCAGCGCTGGCGCTGGACAATGGCCTGGCGCGGACACCGCCCATGGGCTGGCTGCACTGGGAGCGCTTCCTCTGCGCCACCGACTGCGCCGCCGAGCCGAGCCGCTGYGTCAGGTACCGCCGCAGGGGATGGGTCCGCGGGGAGCCCAGGGCAGCCCAGGTAGCGGACAGCCGGCCCGGTGCTCTGGCCCCCGCCGTGCCTTCTCCGCGCCAGGGCGGAGGGCCAGGCTCGCTCCCTTCCCCGCGGCTCCCCGTGTGCCCCGCTGATGTGCCAGTGGTAGACATCAGTTGTCCGCTTTCTTTGCCGGTCGTGCGCCCTGCCCGTGCCCGTGCCCAGCGAGCAGCTGTTTGTGGAGATGGCTGACAGGATGGTGTCCGAGGGCTGGAGGGACGCCGGCTACGAGTTCATCTGCATTGACGACTGCTGGATGGCTCCGACGCGGGACGAGCAGGGCAGGCTTCAGGCGGACCCAGAACGGTTCCCCAGTGGGATCCGCAAGCTGGCCGACTACGTGAGTGCCACCATGGCACGGTGGTGACCCAGCCTGGGAGCAGGGGAGGGCAGGGACGGCCGGGTGGGAATGGCTGCATCACTGCTGAGCTAAGGCTCTGCCAGCCACAGTGGGCTTTGCTTCCCTTGCTGCCCCCATTCCTCTTCCTCCTGCCTTGTGGCTGCCCCATGCCACGGTCTGTTTGCACACACAGGTCCACTCCAAGGGTCTGAAGCTGGGAATCTACAGCGATGTTGGGCRCAAGACGTGTGCTGGCTTCCCTGGCAGCTACGACCACTATGACCTGGATGCCCAAACATTTGCTTCCTGGGGTGTGGACCTGCTCAAGTTTGATGGCTGCAACTCTGACTCACTGGAGCTGCTGGCAGAAGGTAGGCACGGGCCCAAGGCAGCCATTCCCATGGGTAGGAATATTCTGCAGGCAGCAGCAGTTCCAGGCCCCGCATGCGGCTCCACRGAGTTGCTGTTCCCTGAGCACACTCATTTAAGGGACTTGCTTACAAAAGCAAGTCTGAGGCTCTGTTCCCAAGGTGTCAAGTGTTGCTGGGTTAAGTGTTTTTACCTGTTCAGTCTCCTGAAGCTGTCCTTGAAGYACAGCTTGGAAAAGGAGCTTTTCTCACCCCAGAGCACGGATCACGCCGAGCACAGACACATCAGCTGCATGCTCTGGGGGCTGCCTGTGYAGGCTGCTACCTCAGCTATTAACTCAGCACAGGCTTTGCCCTTCTGCTCTGCCTTTACTGGAGAGCTCAGAGCGTTTCACACGCTTAACCCATAATCYCTTTGGTGGGGCCTTGTCAAGGCGAATCAGCCTGAAGCTAGAACAGCTCGTGCCTGCCATGAAAGGAGCAGTTAGGAAGGCTTTTAAGAGATAAAAATGAAGGGAATTAAGGTGTAAAAATCCTACTGGGGTTTTCCATTTAAAGCACACCAATGCAAATACCACTTCAGAAGATATTTGCACAAAGGCTGGCAAGCCAGCAGCTGAAAACTCAGCTGCTCCCCGTGCTGAGGGGACTTGGCTACAGACTCCTGTGGAGCACAGGCAAATCCCAGTGCCACAGGAGTAGATCTGTGGGAAGGACACTTTTAACTCGGAAAGCTTTTTTCTCTTGACTGGGCTCTCTGGCTGCTGGCACAGWCAGCACCACAGTGTTTGGCAGCAGGAGTTCTGCATGAAGTCCTGTCTCTGCCTGGCAGGGAGAACCTGCCCAAGTGACAATCCCATCGAAGCCAGATGGTGGAGCATATGCCAGCTGCCACAGACAGGAGCACAGCTCAGCACCCTGAGTGACAGCTGAGCTGAGAGCTCCTGTTGGATCATATGTGTAACCCAGATACAATCCAGTTGTACTGAGGCAGTTCCAGAGGAGAGAGCAGACTTTTCATTCCCTCTCTGCCAATTGGAAAGGACTTAACAGGGGCTGTCTGGGGACAAGGACAGGAAAAACTAGAGCTTTTGCATTCCTGCCCAGTCCATATGGCGCAAGTGCCTCATAAGAATATACTCCTACATTTCCCAGCAAAGCTGCACTGCTTGATACATACTGACTTGTATTTCCTGGGTATCTAGAGAAAAAAAATGCCATACAGGAAAGCTTTTAAGCTCTTCCCCTGGCTGTATGTTCAAGGGGATCAGCAGTCTTGGAGCAATARGCTGCCCAAGCAAACTCCTGTCCTTGGGAAGCAGGTGACCASCTGCAGACTTTAAACACCCCTGTCCTCCCTGTGTTATCTCAACCACAAAAATGTGTTCAATCTTAATTTTGCAAGAGTTGAACTGAAACCTGAACCTGTGACATTAGATTAGTTCTGCTGTGTGACCAAGGAGGTTGTGCAACTTCTGTCTGTCCTCTCCCTTTAGGATACAGGCGCATGTCTCTGGCCCTGAACAGGACTGGAAGGAGCATTGTRTATTCCTGTGAGTGGCCTTTCTACTTGAGGCCCTTGCAGCAGGTAAGAACTGTCTCTCAAGGTTTATCCTGGGGCTTAATTGGGAAGAACAGAAAAACATTAAGGTTGTAAAACAGTGTCCTGAGAAACTTGCTGCTCTGACAGAGGATAAGGCTGTAAAATGGAGGAATACTTTTTCCTCTAGAGCCCTGGAGCATACCTGAGTCATTGCTCTGCTAAAACAGATTCAGTAGGATCCTGCAGCACAAAGGCACAGCCCAGATGGAGCATGCCAAAAAAAAAAACCACAGCATCCATCTGCTTCCTGTCTCCAAGGAGTCAAGCAGCAAAGCATTGGCAGTGCAGACACACAGCCTAGCAGATAGCTCACTGTTACTCCTCCTGGACACAGAGTGCTGCAGACTCAGCCCTACAGTCAGCTCTGGGGACCACAGGAGAGGCTTTGTGGCRTTCTCCACATTGTTCAGTGACAAATTTCTGCCACTCAGGGTCTGTGACTGACACATTGCCCTCCACCCACAGCTGACTTCCCCTGTGCCACCGTGACAGGATGGTACAATTCTCTCCCATTGGAATTAAATGTATTACTCACCAAAGGGTGTAAACCCCAAAAGTASCAGTAATTAGTGGGCTGTTACAGYTTAATCCCATTGGCCTGGTCACAACTTAAAGGCCACAAGGTGAAAATTGTGAAGGAATTTTCTAACAGAGCTWGTGGCCACAATTGCTCTCCCAAGGGGAGCAATAGTGTTGTATGGAACAAGGCAGACTGGAGTTCYTGGCCACAAAGCATCCAAGGGAATCAACATGCACTAGATCATCCAGATAGCTAGTGATGGAAGGTGTTATCCCAAGCTACCCTTGATCTAGCCTAGTCTTGTTTACACTCTTGTACAGCCAGGTGCTCTGGCTAATCACACTCATTATTTTGGCAGCCCAATTACACAGAGATCAAACAGTACTGCAATCACTGGAGGAACTATTAYGATGTGTCTGACTCCTGGAGCAGCATCAAGGGTATCTTGGACTGGACAGCCCGTCACCAGGACAGCATTGTGAAGATAGCTGGGCCAGGAGGCTGGAATGATCCTGACATGGCAAGTACAGCAACACCCACCCCACTTGAAACATCAGCAAAAAATCCTTCCGCTGTAGGGTGAGAAGGATAGGAAGGACAGAACTGGGGGAGCACTGAGGGGAAGGGCTCTAATGGGGACCCGAGAATCAGGATCTTGATGAGATTGTCTGGGGGGAAAGAGAACTGCAGCTATGGATAGTACCAAGGAAGCACCATCTTTGTGTCATGCAGCCTCCACAAGCAGAACCAGTTCAGAACACAGGTGTGGCACTGGGGGTCAGTCTTCTGTCCCACTAGAGGGAAAAGCCCCGAGTATCAGCATTGCAAGGAAGGAATACCTGCATCCAAAAGCAGATTCCTAAACASTGCCTAGTCATATAAGGAGCCTTCTTTACCTCCACCAGTGGCTCATCCTAAATTGCCACACAGTTATGCCTTGCTTTTCCCAACGAGCTGCTTGTGCTCCTGGTACTCAGCCTATCTASGCAGGCTCCAGAGAGGTCCCACCCTGTGATTTCCCGGTGCTGTGGCCCAGTATCTCCTTAGCAGGCAGGTTACCAGGCACCTTTTGTTTTGCTTGTCACAGCTGGTGATTGGAAACTTTGGGCTGAGCTGGGACCAGTCGGTGACTCAGATGGCCATGTGGGCCATTATGGCAGCTCCCCTGTTCATGTCCAACGACCTGCGGCACATCAGTCCTGAGGCCAAGTGTCTGCTCCAGAACAAAGAGGTGATCGCCATCAACCAGGATCCTCTGGGCAAGCAGGGATACCAAATTGCCAAGGTACAGCAGGAGCAGCCTGGGGGTGCAGGGTGGGGCACAGGAGGGATGGAGAGGTGCTCAGGGTTTGGAACAGGAGCTCAGTGAGTCTGTTCCTGAAGCCTGCTGGAACAGACAGGCATGAAGACCATCACTTCAGCCTCCCTCAGTCTAAGCCCTGGGTTTATTTTCTCCTTGGCAGGACAAGAACTTTCAGCTGTGGGAGCGGCCCCTATCTGGCCRAGCCTATGCTGTGGCAGTGCTGAACCTTCAGGAGATTGGGGGACCCCAGAAGTACACCTTCTCCCTCACCTTMCTCGGCAATGGGCTGGCCTGCAACCCAGCCTGCTCCATCCGACAGGTCCTGCCAGTCAGCAGGGACTGGGGTGTTTACAGCTGGATCTCCTCCCTGAGCGTAGAGGTGAACCCCACAGGCACTGTGCTGCTCAAAATCATGGCACTATAGGAGGCACAGGGAACCTGCTCCTAAGCCTCACACTCTGTCTGAACTTGTGGCAGGAAGCTCCTTCTCTTCTTCCAAGCAGGTGCCTTTTTTCTCAGGCATTCATTACTTGAACCTTCAGCCTAATGTAACATCACCATCATTCCGTCACCAACAGGAAACAGAAGGTGAACAGCAGAGCAGTGCCCCTTTCTCTGGCATCTCACCCAACTCCCTSCAAGGAGCTGGAAGGGCTCCAGCAGGGAGCAACTCCTGTTTACTCCCACTACCACTACCAAGCAAGGATAGGCAAGGGATGCACACACAGCTGTCCTTGAGCATTTCGAGGACAATAGGGAAACACATCCTGGCAACCTCCTTGCTGTGTTCCAGACCAGACACATAGTCAAGAGAAGCTGCTCCTACCTGGCTGAAAAACTCCAACACTACTCAAAGCATGAACATGTGCTTCCATCTTCTGACAACTCAGGGACTGGCCTGAATCATTCCACTTTTTAGCAACTCTCTTGACAGCTGCTGTCATGCCTTAGGATTCTAGCTTTTGAGGGTTTCCCCTTACTCCAAGAATCTCTCACAAGTGGCTGTCAGTTACCTTCAGATGACAATTCCCTCTCCACCCTTCATGTGGCCACTGGAGTCCCCTTTCTCCATGAACTGCTTCCCAGGAATCCCTATGTGCTTGCTTCCCACTGCTGACAGCAGCCTTTAGGTTGAATGACCGAGACTCTCCAAGCCAGGAGACAGACAATCACTTACGCAATCATCAAGTACAAATATATTCTTTTCTGACTATACAATCAAGATGTCTTGATTTGCTCTTCTGTGATTAAGCACTTTGATTAAAAYCCCTTTAAAAGGCTATGCTTTTTCTTAACTTGCTGTGTACAGAAGTACAGCATGGTATCKGAAATTAATTAATTAAACTGAAATCATCATGAAATAAAACCAGCATTTAGAAAACAACAGTTCGTTCCAGTCACCTAAGTTTTTGTGAAATTTGTCAGGATTACTAAAAACAGCACTCAGTGAAGCTGACATGATACAGCTATATAGCCCCTCCCACAGGCCAAAGCCACCACTGCCTGCACAAGTTTGAAAATGTCATCAGCCAGTATTTAACAAGCTGTTCTGTTACAGCTGAGTAACTAAGTGCTTTCAGTCATTATGAAGATTTGAAGAGGCATCTCTCCATCCTCCAGCTCCATGTCCACTACCACTGCCTTTAAGGGTGAACTCTGCGTTGCATTCCCAGCACCTGCTAACAGCAGACTTCCTACTCCCAGGTAGCTGCTGCCTCACAGAGGTGTTCCTTTTCAAGGGGAAGCTGTCCTGGATTCTCTCTCTCCAATCTGTCACAYTCCTGGCTGTTGCCCATTTGAAACTTCGGTGCTGTGCTTGGCCTTTTTCCTTCAAGGAGAAAGCTAAAGAGGCACCAACAGCAGTCAGGCACAGGGGAAGGCAGCTGAGGCCTGTTACACCAGGTGCCTGGAGGAACCATGGGGAGGAACTGTCCCTCACCTCTGAGCTGCCATGGCTAATGGCACTTGCCTAATTTCCTAACTAGGCACCTGCCTAATCGTGCAGATACCACTGACTGCTCCAAGGCTTTGCTCCTTAGGGCAGCACAGCTGCTTGTAAAMAGAGGTCTATAGCCAAGCACAGAGGCTGTTCAGGGAAGGTYRTAMACAAGSCTGCACCAYGCYCAAGCAGAGAAGTCACTAGTACCCATTACAAAACACCTTGKAAACACAATAAGGAGATCCCAGCCATTGGAAGGACTTTGCAAAAGCCAGAAGTCATTGTCTTAGTAATTCTGCAAGCAACACCCTCCTGCCAAGTTGATGTACTTACAGCTCCCACCCCACCACCAAGAGAAAACACATTTATAAAAAGCAAGGGATTGATCTAATTACTTTAATATGGTCCGTAACGATGAGTAGGATGATGCTCAGAACTGGATCACCTGGCCCTGTAAGAAAGAAGCCAGAGACAACAGTGAGTTTATTCACCAGCAGATACTGCCACCCTTTCTCAGGCACCCATGGAATACAAACCCACCTTTCTCTTCTTGTCTCCTCCCAGCTCAAAGTGCTTGCACCTCTTGATTGCCAGCATCCTCTTGGACCTGCAGTTGGGCTCCACACACTCCAGCCTCAGCACAATCTTCTTGGTGGTCTTGGCCTGGGAGGAGCAGGGTGTATCAGTGAACCACACATCCCCAAGCAAACTGCTGCTCTCAGAAAATGCTTGTTCTCTGCACTSCTGATCATTCAGCAGTTTGTTTTAAAGTGTGAAGTGAGAGACAACCAKCTAGACTCCCTCCATGTTAAACAAGAAGGCACCTTAAGGATCAGTACAGGAATATAGTGTATTCTCGTGAAGGGACACTGGCAAAAGCATTCAGTGGGGCAGGGCTGGTTCCTGAAGGGATCCACCATAGTGGCAGTTTGTGCCAGTGAACACAGCAAGAAACTCAACACTTGTCAAGTGTGGGATAACAGACCAGCAGTGCTCAGAAGTCCAGCAGAAAACTGAGCAGAACAAACACCTGGAAGAAACATGAATGGCAAACTCTCTGGAAGGAACAGAGACACAAAAGGCTCACTGCAGACCTGCAGCTACTGACAAGTTGAATGAGACCCAAAGACTGCAGAGGAAAGAATCCAAAGCTGACAGGCTGCTACAGCATCTGGACCACCAGCTAAAAACCTCAGCCAATCACCCATACAGTGCTGACTGGGAAAAAAACAGAAACAGGGATTGCAATGTACAGGGATTGCAATGTACAGGTAGAGAGTGCCAGCAATGCAGCTGCTTGGGGCACCCTGCTTACAGAAGCATTTTCTGCAAGGTCTCCCCACTTCCTGGCACAAAGTCATCTCAAAAACCTGCTGTCTCATCTTTTTTTTTTTCTTGCTGGAAGGCTTCCTGTACATCTCCAGCAGGACACCAGGGATTTCCAGCACCAAGCCAAGCAGCTCTGAGCATAACTAAACGATTCACACATAGTAACAAATCCACCCATTGGGTTTTGCTTCCCTGCTCTAAATACAAGCAGCCATCTCATTTCCCTTAGGCAAGCAGTGAAAAAAGCTCCTTTCACTGCAAGTATCCCTCCCAGCAAGATCCTGCTCTCTGCAGCATCAAGGCTCCCTGGGAACCAGCCTGAGTCACCCTGCAAATGAAGGAGCATTTTCATGATGCAAGATGAGCCATGTACATCATGAAAGCCTACAAGGGAGATGGAGAGGGACTGTTTGGAGAGCATGGAGTGATAGGACAATGGGGAATRGCTTCACACTGACYRAGATTASRTAYTGARAAGTTCTTCCCTGAGAGGGTGGTGAGGCCCTGGCACCTGAGGTTGCCCCATCCCTGGYAGTGTCCAAGGCCAGGCTGGATGGGRCTTASAGCAAGCTGGGATAGRGGAAGGTGTCCCTGCCTGTGGCAGGGGCTGAAACAAGATGACCTTGAAGGTCCCTTCCAACCGAACCCATTCTGTGACTCTGTGATGTGGACGGGGCGTTTGCACTCCCAGCACAGAGCTGCCAGCAGAGCTGCCCTCACACAGCCACAGCAGAGCACTGAGGAATCCTCATTCAGCTGGGCACGTGGSCTGCAAGGAAGTTTCACGTCCTTCTCCCAGGAACAGCACTCACTCACCTTTTTACGGAAGATGGGCTTTGTCTGGCCCCCATATCCACTCTGCTTCCGATCGTAGCGCCTTTTTCCTGTGGGAACAAAGGCTCTGGTCAGGCAACAACTCAAGAGATGCTCTGAGTGCAACTGGCACTTCCTAAATCCCAGCAGAGCTCAGCCTGGCTCTGCACAACCTACTAGAACCATGCCCCCCTCCTCCAGCAGCCCCACGTTTCCCCCATGGCCACTGTTCTCATGTTGACCCCAAAAGGTTAGCCTTTCCCTTATCCCTTGAGCCACCACACGAGGTCATGGSACTCGACTTATTCAGAGTTCTGTGCAGAGAGGAACTCTGGTTATTAAATCCTCAAAGCTAGCACACAAAAAGCCARAAATATGAATATATTTATATAGTCYTGTTCAGGTGRTRTTTGCATAACTAATCTACATCACTACTGGCCGARTGACCATTGGATTCACTTTCTTTCACCTCGATTTGAAAGTCCAGCACATTTTAAACTCACAGCCCATGTTCGGTGGGTAGGGCCCTCCCTCGGGGCGGGCAGCCTGGGCTCCGCAGTTGTGCTTTCACATTATAGCGAGCTGAGTTCATCCAGAGCTCACCATTCCTAATCAGCTCAACATTTCAAATACCYCAAACTGGTTTGGGCTGATATGCCTTTAGTATTTCCCCCTTTGCCGTAGYGGTTTAGCTCCCCTTTACTGTACACCACATCCTTTAGTCAGCCTGTTCTCTCCCGCCATACAAATGTTCCCAACCCACGGCACACAACCCCCGGACCGCACGCACTCCCCTGCCCGTGCCCCGRAGCGAGCCCGTCCCTACCCTGCGCATAGAGCGAGTCCTTCCCCTTCTTGTACTGCGTGACCTTGTGCGGCTGGTGCTTCCCGCACTTCTTGCAGTAMGTCCGGCGGGTTTTCGGCACGTTCACCTGCAGGAGCG